CCCCGCTGTCCGTCACTTGAGCTTTGTGGGACTGCGGCGACATTCAGAATTGAGGCAATATGGGCAGGCAGAGCATACGCGCCACAGGGCAATGCCCTACTAATCATGTCTTTTTAAGCTCTAGAATATTCCGAGGAGTCCTGCACAGGCACTGTAAAACCCATTTGTGTGGATTCACAGAGGACCACTCAAACAACCATGGTTACAGGTAAGTAACCTCTCTATCTTAATCCCCACCCCCTGAACTTTCCTAGGTGGAATTTTTCAGGTTGAAATTCCTGGAAGAATTTTTTAGATGGAATTCTTTGCATGCTACTATAATCCTATATTGTTTTAATACACATTATTTTCAAGGATGAGTACAATCCGGCTAAAGTGAATCAACTTTTAATTTCCTTGACTAAAGGTCAGCTGTGCACAAGTTTAAATCCTACTGAAATCAGGAAGCAAATATGAGTGCTTAAATCTGACTAGATTGTGTCCGCACATAGATTTTATTTTTAATCCCTAGTCAATCTTTTGGACAAGTAAATGTTAGGTTGCATTTCAGGCAAAACTTTCAGCCAGATCCTAGCTCAATGGATGAAGCACTACCAGACTTTATGACAGCTCACAATAGGCAGAATCTGTCTTTGGTCTTGGCAACCATTTTCAACAATGCAAAAGAAGCTGACAAAAGTACATGGATGCAAACCATTTATGAATCCCAACCTCCAAGGAATACTATAATTGCATGTATTTATCAAATTACCAAGTAATTGTGCTAAAGCAGCTCGGGTTAAACTACTGCACAAATTTTAATTAAAATTCACTTTCTCTGCATAAAAATAAAAGGATTTCATGGAGCCGTATAATTAAATCTCAACAGGGTAGTTGTAATAGAAAATGTCAATGTTTAACCTGCATTAATTGTGTGATACTATTTGGCCTCATCTTCTTGGTAGCTTTTTTTGTTGATGAGGAAGGAATATGATTCAGGAGTGGGAACTTAAAAGAAAAATAATGCTACACCTGAAGCTTCTTTCTGCAAGAGTGGCTATTCATTCACTTCACACTGAGCAGCTGATTAACACAATATATTACTCTAGTTTTTCAGAGACATGAAGGTAATGTCTTCTCAGCAGTAGGTAACTGCTGTACAATAAAAATAATAGGATTGAATATTACATAGTATTGGCTGCATGGTATTTACACTTGCACTGAAATTGGTTATTGTAGGAAACTACAATTACTGCACTTTGAAATTAGGAAATTCAAGATTTCAACTATCAAGTATCAAACATACAATAGTTGAAATTCAAGATATCAAGTATCAAATACTATACAAAACTTGATTTCAAAATTAGTTATTTTAAAATTTCAAGATGCAACTGAGAGAATCTAAAATGGCAACATTTGCCTTTTATAGCAGCTTTATGAACAGATTACCAGTGTTGTGCGGGCATGAGCTATATGCATGGAGATGGGACACATATTTTTAATTAGGACTGTGGAGTGTTTACAAAACATGAAGTGGAAGACTTTTGTGTACCAAAAAAGCTCACGTGTTTAATGAAAACTGACTGCTTCTGATAGACTTAACAAATTTTGTAAGTAAGACATACTACTTGCATACATCCTAGGAAATTTTTCAGGATTAATACATAATTATTCCCAAGGTCTGATCAGGTAATTTTACTACTTTTAGTGATTATTCTATGTTACTGACTAGACAAGGAATGCTCCTGATCTTGGCCACAGTCCTAGCTAGCCAAGATGGCAGAGGTCTGACTGTGCGGAATCCAAACCCTTCCCAACCTCTGGATGTTGGAAATTACTTAACACTACTCTGACCTGACCTAACTTTGTTTTGGCATAATGGTTCTGACTTGAGCATGATTTGAATCTGGCATAACATACACACACACACACACACACATACACACTTCCACACTTTTGTGGCTCTTCTGGCAGTTGATTTCAGCCACCACATCAATTGTGCTGGCGGACCTCAGATTAGACAGCACAAGGGCAGCTGTTGTGACACAAAAGGCATTTGCCCTTTCCAAAGCATACTTTTCAGTTTAAATCGCATGTTAATCACACAAATGCAGAAGGCAATGGGCAAGAAACAACAATCAGAAAGTAGAGATCCACAAGGACAGGTCAGTCTCTAACCCTATCACATTGTTAAATTGGCTGATATCCAGTAGTAAGTAGTACAGGCCTACTAACACTTCACCATGTTTCCCTGAAAATAAGACAGGGTCTTATATTAATTTTTGCTCCAAAAAAGCAGTAGGGCTTATTTTCAGGGGATGTTTTATTTTTTTCATGTACAACAATCTATGTTTATTCAAATGCAGTCATGTCTTCTTCTGGTTGCTGGACAATGGTGGAGGGCAGGGTTTCACTTAACTAGGGCTTATTTTCAAGTTAGGTCTTATTTTCAGGGAAACAGGGTAGAAAATAGAAGACCCACCAAATCCCCACTAATTTAATAGGCCTAGTCTAATTGTGATTTACTACTGGATTTCAGCCAATCAATAATTAAAAGGGGACTCATTTATTCACAGATTAAAAGAAAAAAGTTTAGGGATTGAGCCATACTTTCCTCTATGTAGAAAATACTTAAGAAGAAGGGTAACAAACTTGCTATGATCCATGGGTGTACTTACATAAATACTAGGATCATTGAAAGAGCAGTACAGTACAACTAGATATTAATGTTTGTGACAAGAACAGGATTCAAAAGAATCTGCTACCTTCTCCTCTTCTGGTAATGGCTGCTCTCACCAGGCAGGCCTCTATCTTGACAAACAGGTCCTTTGTGCTCAGCTACCAATCTGGCTAGATTACTTTGTTACAGTAATATAGAATGTTTTGGCACAACAATTGAAAAAGTATATTATTTTTAACTTCAATGACTTACAGTACAGCTAGTGTCAAGTGACGTATGTAGTTCTAATGTTTCAGATGGTGCATTTTGCTTGCAGTGGATCAAACAAATGAAACAAAGTTATTCCGAAGCCAACCAAACAGTCAAGTAATATTCATTATGTGCAATATCTAATATTTCTGATTAAACAAGCAAGAAACAGTAATTGCATTTGTTACTAATCAGAGAGTGAGAAACTGTTAAACAAATCTTTGTTTAAAATGGGAAATTCCAGTCTTCTCCCATTAATCTTACAAATGCAGAAATCTCCCAAACTATACGTGTTAGAAAAGAGAAATTTTTACTATATATAGTAATATATAAGTGAGACGCTTAGAATGTCTAAGTATATTTTTAAGGAGTGGGTTTATCAGTGCCACCTTCCAGTGACTGTCTGTGGCACAGAGAGGGGATTGGAACCCATGTCTCCCAAAACCTAGTCCATAGCTCTACCCAGTACAGTATACTGGCTCTCATGTTATTCTTCATTGGGGTGGGGAGAAAACCCATTTATTCATATTGATCACTATCTCCCTGTACTGACTTTCATTATGTGCATATATGAAATCCTGACAGCTTTGCCTTAAAATGTATCATATGAATGCTAATGATAGTAATTCGCAAAAGTTCAGGTTGAAATCTGTTGGTATTAAAATGGTCACAACACGTTTATTTCTTTTTTTTTTCTTTTGCTGTAGACTTGCTAATGGTGGCCCATCCCAATAGATATAACTACACTCCCTTTTCTGATAGGTGCTTCATTCTTTCTTTGCTTCTCCAAAAGAGCAAATTAAATGAGATCAGACAGGTGTAAGATTTAGCATTTAGTTATTTGTAGCAGTTAGCATAAGTGGTGCTGACTTTTCTAACACATTTTCCCTCTGTGTGGCCCTGACTAGCCAAAATGGCCCCCAAACAGGCCAGAAAGGTGTGAGGGCAGAGAATGTTGACTGATTACTTAGGGAGGATAGCTTTTTCTTCCAGTTCTTAAAAAATGATCTACTATACATGATGCATCAGTACATGCATGCATGCATGCATGCATACACACACATGCCTGCCTTTCTCTTTCAGCCTGTGCCGAGACATTTTTATTTGTCCTTGGGCTTTCTTGATGTAACTCTCCCATTTGTGGAAGGTCTAGTTGCTACTGTTTGTTAGCTGTAGTAGTTCACCTTCTCAATTCTCACCTTAAAGTGCTTTAAATGCTAGAAAAGCAAACTTGCTGTGAAAAATAAAATAAAATTAAGTGCTGTCAGAAGTATGAGGTTGGAAGCAGACTCTCATTCAATGAATTAAATCCACCAACTGCTGTCATTGTGCAGTTTCCATTCACTTCTGTTTGGCTGTCAAAGGAAAACTTCCTGGTGGTTTGTGCCTATTGTGAATATGAAGATGCTATTTAGATTTTCCACTGCTAAGGCCAAAATGCCAATATCCTTGATAGTTTCTATTTTGATTTGCCATTTATGTTAAATCACAACTAATGTGTTAGAAAAGTCAGCACCACTTATGCTAACTGCTACAAATAACTAAATGCTAAATCTTACACCTGTCTGATCTCATTTAATTTGCTCTTTTGGAGAAGCAAAGAAAGAATGAAGCACCTATCAGAAAAGGGAGTGTAGTTATATCTATTGGGATGGGCCACCATTAGCAAGTCTACAGCAAAAGAAAAAAAAAAGAAATAAACGTGTTGTGACCATTTTAATACCAACAGATTTCAACCTGAACTTTTGCGAATTACTATCATTAGCATTCATATGATACATTTTAAGGCAAAGCTGTCAGGATTTCATATATGCACATAATGAAAGTCAGTACAGGGAGATAGTGATCAATATGAATAAATGGGTTTTCTCCCCACCCCAATGAAGAATAACATGAGAGCCAGTATACTGTACTGGGTAGAGCTATGGACTAGGTTTTGGGAGACATGGGTTCCAATCCCCTCTCTGTGCCACAGACAGTCACTGGAAGGTGGCACTGATAAACCCACTCCTTAAAAATATACTTAGACATTCTAAGCGTCTCACGTGCCTTGAAAACCCTACTAGGGACCCCACAAGTCGATTTGAGGAGACACAACACCATGACTAACTTACGCTGGCAATGCCCTCGTATGTATGTGCACAGGTATAACTGCCCCGGTTTGGATTTTGGCGTGGAAGCCTTAAGAGGGCATTCCGCGTGAAGACGAAATAAGCAATACAACAGAAGCCCCGGAGCCTTCTGGATAATCTCTTCCGAAGTGTCTCTAGCGCTTGCCTCGGGAAGGTACTGTCGCGGAAGCCTTTTTTTATTTTTTTTAAAGGCGGGAATGGAGGGCTGTGAAGCCAGAGCGAGGAGCAGCGGTGAGGAAAAAGTCAGTTGAGCCGGAATGGCTGGCGTCCCCAGCCATCCACCGGGAAGGCGCGAACGGCTTCGGCGGCCTTGTTAGAGCGCCGGTGCTGACCCGGTGGCCTCGGCCCATTCCTTCCCTTTTTGCCTACGTGCGGCCTTGGAGGAGGGGAGCCGCCGGCTTGAGCGCGAAAG